TCAATCTTAGACCATCATTGAAAATCTGGAAGCAATAGACGGTCGTCTCTCTCCAGTATGGGACCTCTCAGCGGAGCACATACACAATCCAACACACGGACCGTCGGTCTCATGTACGAACGCTTAACCTCCAAACCACTGAGCCGAATTTCAACGGTCTTACTGTTTAACTTCAACTAATCCACGATATTGTGCGAGTATCTTCCATTGTCTTCAATGTATGATTGCCTCACCCTCGACACGGTTGGACTCCCCTCGTCATGGCTTCTCGAAGCTACTCACTAGTACTCCCAAATCTTCAACGGTGGTCTGACATTGATCGGTTCATTATCAAAATTATAACAGAATGTATGTATTCGTAAGTGGATCTGAGGTGTGAGGAGTTTCACTGACTATTTATCGCCTATGATCGGTGAACTTTATAGAAAAATATAATTTCTATGTGATATGAATCAAATATGTCACAGCATGCATTAAATGAAGACAAATTAACATAATAAAAATAAATGAATGGATGTTTGTGTTATTTTTGCTGTTCCACTTAACTGTTTATCATATTCAGACAAGACAACTGATTAGAACAATTGAATGTCATTGTTGTTATTTAAATAGTAAGTGATATATTAAATGAAATAAGGAGTTCACGCTTATCTATGAATTATTAGTTGCTATGGGACAGCTAATTGTATTCCGTCTTTTCTATCAATACTATTTGGATTTGCCCATATGTATAGGGCTTCGGCTGTTAGTTTTTCTTTGTAAGAATTAATACCTTTTCGTAGGATTCTTGTGCCATTGAAATCAATTGTATGACCCAACTCGCTATCGCTGATTTGTTTTCGAGCTTTTTATATTATCTAAGGATTTAGGAATGTGCTTTAAGCAAAACTTGTGTTTCCTCACCCTCACATTCAGTGGTCATAATGTTTCAACTACATACACAGCATGACATAATAATAAATACAATCACTACATTTGATATCATAAACATATTTTTAATGTTCCTCCTTTTGCATTGGATCTTCGATTATTAACATTTCGGATCCTAGAGTATTGTTCGTTGGAAAGAATACTCTTATATTTTGAAGATTTAGGATCCTTCCGAAACTCCTTTGCGATACGGGATCACTACCGTGTTCAGTTTACTTTTTATCATATCGTATTCGTCTTCTTAATTATTCTTTTTATAAAATCCCTAGGATAATTATTCGTCATCAAAGTGGACATAACTAAATTCGTTTCAATCTCTTTGTCACTTGATCCATTGGCGAGTTTTTGAATACTGGTTACTAAATTCTTGGCCACTATCACTTTGGTGGAATGGGCATTCGGTTAATTGTAATCTAGATATTTCCCGGAATATGTTGTCTTTCGGAATATATTAGTTTTTCTTTTTAAATCATTACATTTCCTTTCAACTAAACAGTCGAGAAAACTTAATTTATGGTTAGCAAATTCAATTTCCTTAGTGCATTTGATTTTGTCAGATATATTGTCGACATTTTCAAACAGTTCTTGTTTTTAATGACAAAAGTGTCCTCTGTGTACCTCAACCAGATTTTTAGTGTTCCGTGATAAAGCTTGGACCAGATTACCGAGCGAAATATTGAATTAATTTAAAATTCAATCGCTAAGATTATACAAATATATTATTCCTCCTTAACATTACCATTCAGTTGAATAGGAAACGAGAAAATCCAATATGGGAAAAAAACCATATCTACATATAATTTCAGTCAATAAATAACATTTAGTATATAATTATAATAATCAACTGAATGAGGACTTCTTCGTCATCTCTTCAGTTTAATGAATTTACATCTTAAATCTATTTTTATGTCTTGCGTTGACTGTATCGGATATCACGTAACAATAGATATACGCTTCTACTATTCAGTGGTAAATACAATCCATCTTTGGGTAAATTACTGCATTGTGGAAATTCGAGTTACTATATTTTATTCAATGGAATAGTAATTTATCAAAACAACAGAAACCATGTTTTGAGAAAGTACATAATGCTGAAAGACAGAAATGTTTAAAAATACGAATAATTCGTACTGACTGGGACTCAACAGCTGTAATTAACTTGAGTCCCAGTGTATTTGTCATCTCTTCTACATAGGCTCGGACCCACAAGCTAGCATTTTAAGTATCAAAATGATGTCTGTTAGACAATGGAGTTAAGTTCCAGTGCTCGGTCAGTCACAGTGAGAACAATAATAGTTAGCGAGATATAAGTACGTTCAGCAGACATTCCAAATAGGATGAAATGGATGTATTGTATAACATAAATGTACTGTAAACCACTTGAAATTTCACTCTAACAACTTATAATTACCGTTACCAGATTATTTTGATCTCACGCCTGTATTATTGAAATCGATTCTGTTCACTATTAAACGTCAGTCAGCTATAAGGTAGGACCAGGCACATGTGTGCATCGCTCCAAGTTGCCATACGTAAGAGCAGTCTATGAGATTACATAGCCTTTGGCTCACATTTTCTCTCTCTCAGTTTCTCTAAAACATGGTACTCTTCACACTACCCCAAAGACATTACGTAACTCCACACTATACTAAAACCTAACAAAGACTGAACGTTATAATATCAATATAAGACTGCTGAATAAACACCAATTATTATCGAGAGAATACGAACACGTGCATAGATTGCACTTTCATGACCTGATATAATTCCTAGATTGGCGTTAACCTGAATAGTTTAATGGTGCCGTCTTTAACTGAGACGCTTGGCTTGAATCCCACAGGAATTATCGTCAAGATTCCAAACATGACCAGATGACAAATGTTCAGCACTACAAAACCTAGGTCTACGCTGGCTTCTGATTGCCTACAACTACTTAAAGTCGAGAAAGTGTAGTGTCCAAAAACTTGGGCTATTATTTGCAATGCAACTTGGTCTACAGCACCCAATCAGCAATAAATACTAAACAAATACGGCACTGAAACTACGTACGACTAGCTAGTCACTTCGTAGTAACCAAAGTGATACTTCTTACGAACTACTTACAATAAATAGAACGGTAACCATAAAATAATCATCTTAAACTAAAATGTTTATCAATCTCATGGTTGTCCATAAGCACTCCTTTACGCAAAGCATTGTGTTTAACAACTGACAGGATAGGCATATGTCCGTTAATGTAGTTCCTCATATAAGGACCCTGGTCAACCGTTCTAAACAGAAAGACGTCATACAAACTGTGTTAACTTCTCGTTTATCCTGAAATAATGCTAAATTGATGTAGAACTTCCTGTAGCACAAAAGTTAACTTACCACTTCTAGGCATCCTATTTATGCTTACTCATTTGACTTTTACAAGTTTGCACTTACACCAAGAATGGTAACAGAACCCAAAGATCCTGACTCTATTAGTTATGTGAGGTGGCCGTGAGTCCGATAATTTTTGGCCATATTATTCTTGTTAAATTTGTGAAGTAAGATCCTAAAAAATAAGTCACCTACTTATCTATGGAACAAGCCAGGTTTGTATATCAGGATTAAAAACTATGAAGTAGCGATCGAAATCCTTAAATCTAATATTAGATCACTACCACGCAGAAATCTTCCTAATTCACAGGTACTTTTCAAGCCACTATGTTTCTGAAGGGAACAACTTCTAGAAATAACACTAAACGCAGAATCAGTCCAGAAAAGACATCCCTGACAAGAATTAGTTTTAATTACATAAAACTTCAGTACACTAACTGAGACCATTCGGTATAATTCTGAGAACATGCAGTAATAAGACAGCCAATTTGAGATTTAAGGCATAGCCGCAAGCGATATCTGACCAACTGAATAAACTAGTATAATGGACAACAGCATATGTTTTGAAGAATTTGAAATACAGAAGGCGAACCAATCTAACAAGCACTTCTGAACCAGTCTAGACGATGGAGGGTGTTGGAGCTGCAGTCAGTATTGATCTCGAGGTATAAGTCTGCTATCGATTCCATGTTATAAGTCTGGGAGAACTACTATCATACGAACTTTGAGAGAGGAAGTTTAGGGTGTCCTGATCCACACTATCTTAAACTATATACTCCGACATCCGGGAACTCAGATCTGATAATAACACGTTTTTGATCGGTGACAAGGATTTACACCGACACTCCAAACTATTGCAGTCCCGCTTAATTTGAGAATATTCGTTCCCTAAAGAATAGGACCACTCTATTAGGTGCTCAGTCTTATCAGCAGGTAACAATCGGAAAGAATTGAGTCGCCAGCTGTGTTCAGTTCAACAGCATATATGGCTTTGGACAAAACAACCTCCAGTGCTTTATTTCTTCACACATCTTAGCAAGTCCCGAAGGTACGGTGGCCTCAAAAATGAGTAATGTCTTGTCCCCACACACGTGAAACCAACCGAGTATCTAAATGTGGAGGCTTGTGTTATATCTGCAACTGGCAAGTTACTAAACCATACCACGACACGTGAACCAATCGATCCCAACTTAGTTTAACTTTCCTTGGGTATTGAACATGGATGCACACGTCCAGTCCTAAGTTACGTCGTCAACGGCCATAAGAACCCCTTCAACTAACAAATCCTATCCCATTTATTAAGGTTATCGGCCATGGTGTTGCTGAAAACTTCAACAAACCAGGCTAAAGTATTCGATCGATATCTATCAAACTAACCTGAGCAATAGGCACGATGGCGTCCACGTAAGGACGATTATATCGGCACAGCAAGCAATATGGACGAAACAATGATCTCCAAGACCAACATTGTTATGACGCTGGTTCAAACGAAACGACTTACAAATGCTAACACCACGCTGCTTTCCAACAGAATGAAATAAAGCTTATAAACAGTGTATTCGATAAAAAATGTTACAGTAGCCATCGTTTTACAAATGCAGGACGGCCCGTTAGGTTTAAAAAGAAACATCTGTAAACAATATAAAATAACACCATCTGTATACAGCAATTGTACGTCAAACATTAGTTTTTAAAACTATTAAGGACTAATCGTCGGACTCTGAATCTTCTGTCTTGGACTTTTTGCCGGCTTTGTATTTTTGCATCGCCTAGAAAGTGTAAAAGTTACTAAAAAGCAACCTACTTTCTCGTAACGTTGCTTCTCTACCTGGGCTAAGCTCTCATACTTAGCTTTGTTTTTACAATGCTCCCATCTTTTACCCAGTTCTTTAGCTACCTCACTGACTTTCCAGTCGGGATTTTCTGATTTGACTTTAGGTCGTTCATCATTACAAAAGAGGAAAAATGCTGACAGCGCCTTTTTGGGTGCATCAGGGTCTCGTTTCCTTTTCTTACTGCGACCTTCATCGGCAGGAGGTTCATAATGTTCCATCTCACATCGATAACGCTCTTTGTCCTTCTCTGCTATATCCTTGAACTTCTTTTTTTCTTTAGCCGATAGATTCTGAAATACAATAAACTACGAACACTTAACGTACCTTCCACTGTTCTGAGCACTCCTTTGAAAAAGCCTTGAAATCTAGAGTGACATTGGGATGTTTCTTCTTATGGTCGGCACGCATAGATTGCAAGAATGCTGCATAAGCATTCATAGCACCTTTTGGTTTACCCTTGTCTTCAGCCATCTTTGCTGAGCTGGTTGAATTCAAAAGGCTAGTCCAGAAGGCCGGACAAACTCAAACGGCCCTAATTAGACTAAGTACGAACAAAGCAGTATCTGGTGTTCAAAAGACAATGTCTTATTTCAGTAGTTGAATCAATTATCTTTATCTAATTAACTAATGTCCAAACTTGGTGAGTTACACCTAGTAATGTCATCATCTAAATGAGATGAATCCGATTTTCGAAAAAGTAAGCAAGTATGGGAGGAATCAGAGGGGATTAATAGAACATGGCTCAGGAGGATTACTCTTAACAAAGTATACCAGAATCATCAGTCACATTGATTTATATTAAACGAAGTGTACGTAGTTCGCTGGTATCTCCTTACAGCAGTATATATATTAAGGATGGTCAGAAACAGATCGTATCTAACTACCGGCCTGCCAGTCTAACTAGCATTGTTATTAAGTTACTTGAAAAGATAATTCAGGTTACGTTGTTAAGCCACATAGATTCACACAATCTCTTAACTCTCGAGCAACATGGGTTTCGTAACAAGCGTTCATGCTTGACTAACTTGCTTATTGTGAGAGAGGATTGAACAGCAGACCTAGGTAACGGTCTGTGATATTCATAGATTTCAGCGAAGCATTTGACAACGTTTCACACTGAGGTCTTATGCAGAAGCTTTCGAGTTTCGGAATAACAGGTGCTATACAGGAATGGATAGGAAACTTCTTATGTGACCGCAGACAGAGAGCGAGGATCAATGGAACGCTATCCGAAAGGAGGCCGGTCAAAAATGATATACCCAAAGGCACCATCTTAGGCCCTCTGCTCTTCCTTCTCTACGTTAATGAGTTACCGCTGTTACTTAGTTCGTCGACATTATTGTTTGCAGATGATGTAAAAATCTGGAGAACAATAAAAAGTGCGGCTGATCATGTGGATCTTCAAGCTGACTTAGACGACTCAGTTAGACGGGCTGGAGATTGGAGCTTGGAAGTTAATTCTACGAAGAGTGTACTCATGCACATCGGACATGGTAATAGTTACCATTATACTAATGATGGTACATCTCTCCCACGCGTTCAAGAACATGAAGACTTAGAAGTAATAATAAGCCATGACTTGGAAAAAAACGCATTGCAATGCAGCTGCTGTCAAAGGTTTTCGTGCGTTATGGTCACTTCGCCTAGCATTCAAATGCTGTAACGAGGAAATGTTTCGAATTTCATATTTCACCTATGTAAGACCACACTTAGAGTACTGTACCAAGTAACTGGTCCATTTCTGATAAAGGATACTAACTCCCTTGGTCGTGTGCAGCGTGTGGGAACAAAATTAGTGAAGGGTCTTTCCAAAGTCCTCTGCGATAAGCACTTAAATCGCCTAAACCTTTTCCTCTTGTCATATCGTAAGACTCGAAGTGACCTTATATTGGCATTTCGTTTTGTTCATTGTGATTCGGGTGTCACTGTCCTATCCTTTAGTCCCCTTCAGCACTAATAATCTCCGAGGTCATAGCAAGAAAGTTCACAAACCGCGTTCTAATAATTTTAATGTGGGGTTCCGTTTTTCTCATCGAGTAGTCAATGGTTGGAACTCCTTACCCGAGGAAGTGGTATCAGCCCCATCGGTGAATATTTTTAAGAAGCTGGACCTTCACTGGAAGGCAATCTGTCAGGATTAGTACAGGTTCACCAATCTACTATCCTTATTACTAAAGACTGAAGAGTTTATTAACAAGTGGTTATCAACTTGATGAAGTTACTACAAAATATTCTAGCACTCATCATTATTGTTTGTAGGAATAGTGAGATGGAAAACCTTATTGCACTTGCTGATGAATAACTCTCATTTACTTATGGTAGGTTTAAAAAACTAATAAATTTCCCATTTTTATGTGCCATCCCGAGTGATCTTAGACACTCTAAAACTGAGCCAAATTAGGTAGTCTTCTGTTAAAGAGATGGTATTAAGCCTGTTTACATTAATTGTGTCCTATTACTCTACTTTAAAAGTGGAAAAAATATGTCAATCTTAAAACCTGTTCCAAGGCATAAATATTCCAATATATAATAACTTACTAACATACTTAAGCCTGCTCCCCCTGTATTTGTAAACGAATACCGAAAACAAATAATTTTGCAAGTCTTCAACATTCATGTTGAGCCTTCCAGTTTTATTAAACACGCCCTGGATGAAGGCTTTCGGCCATGCATCTACACCAGAACACGAGTGGATACGCTACGCTACGCATCCATTACATCTACTAGGCAGGTTAAATAAAACGCTTCTCAGCAGATCGATAATCCTTCTTACACATCTTTGAACTCATTCATTCCCAACTCCTAGTTTGAATGGGTTGGTATCCCTCGATTATAAAGCCTTTACAGACGAAGACGTGGTCAAACTCTGAATATCTGCGTCATACTTAGTAGTGAACGTGACGTGATCTGGTACACCAAACGACAAATCGTAAGTCTATTCCTTGTTATAACATTATATCCTTTTTATTTTGGCTCACCGTGATATTATTATTCACTTTAAGACTCTAGTACCCCCCACCTTCCAACTAATGATACTGTGGCTTGATAATATTAAAGCCTGGTTATGCCACGCAGAAACTGACTTTCGTAAGTATGGTGTGGTAGATCCACGAACATAATTCTTTTAGTTGTGAGAGGCACCGACTAGTGTAAAAGTAGTGATTGACGCAAAAATCATTCCCAACTTGACAGCTGTTAAAGCATACAGCCATGTTCCTATGATTGCAAACGACATTCCTGAAACTGCCACCATCGCTTCATTCAGACTCCATGGATCTTCTAGACCGGAAAGATTTTCAACATGCCGTTGCACCATTTTTTCTAAGAAAAGACAAAAATAGTGCCAAAACAGGAATAGACTTAAGTTTTATTGTAGAAGTTTGTAACCATAGTGCCATAATTTTAAATTTTGTTAAGTTTTTCTAGTTTTTGTCTATATTATTCAGACCTCATCTAACATTTTCTATTAAACCAGTCACAATCATACTACTTTATTTATTCTGGTTCAGGAATTCAGTTATCACATCAATTGTTTAAACAGATGTTAAAACTATGAGCGATAAAAAGTCACTGGCCTAAGATATGATCGTACTGTTCTAATTCAATGGCCTAAGATTGTTCGTTAGTCATACAAATGCACAAAATAGAAACTATGCAGTCTAAGTTTAAACTATGTTAGTAAACATGTGCGCACCGTGATTGGCAATATAATCATTTTAAATTTCTGACGTTTATGAGACTCTAAACGTGAACATATCCTGAGCCATCAAAAGTATTAAACACTTAAAATAACAACATCCCCAATCAACACTATGACTAGTTGGTCATAATAGATTATGTACATAGTCATGACTCAATCATCTCGCAATATGATTAACAACATTGATGGAACTATTAACAGAAGCTCGGCCGATAAATTGACTGGTAATTTTCATTGAACATGGTTGATGTATTGTGTTTTTCATTATCTAGCACAGATGATTTCGGTGTATTTTTCTGACAACACACTTTATTAGTTTAATTGGAGATCTGACAAGATAACCATCCGGGCAAATCGTTAACGTAAGCAGTCAAGCGAACCTCCTCCAAACTAAAAACATCATTGTTGAATGTACCCTAACCCTGACAAGAGTTCATCTCATTGTCATAAACACAGGTTGAACACTGTAGTTCCATCGCTTAAAACTTATGCGCAACATGACAACCATTATGGTGGGCGGTATTCAATATAATCCTTAAACTTCGTACACAGTTCGTCTTGATAACCGTCACCAGATAACACCCCAACGGTTTATTATTCAGAAGGCGAATACGAAGTGTTGAATACGCTTATTATGGGACCACACACAGATATCCAAAATTACCGGTGCGTTAAGCTAGCATGAAAGAGTTTTGCCGAAAAGCAAGTAGGCAGGCGAGCGAGCGAGTCAGCAACTCATATGTATTTGTAGTATTGCTAAATCCCATGCATAGTAGAACTGTCTTGATATTCGTATGGAAGATCCTAACTTTGATGTCGGTTGACAGTCGTTCTGAGTTCCACGTGTTCTTCGGTTGTAGGGGTGCTTCCCGTGCTTTGCCAACACTTGCCTTCAGATTCTCATCAGATCCTCCTTGTTTATCAATGAAGCAGTCCAGGAGCGTGAAACATTCTACCTGTTCCAGAGTTTCTCCATCAAATGTGACCGAGTTGGTGCCACCTGTCATATTTTGCGATCTTTTTTCACTTTTAAATGTCGAGGCCTGCTGGTACACTGGTTTTCCTCACCTGTGTTTGCTGGTGCGTATGAGATAGAAGAACCAGATCATCTATGAAGTTCAGATCGTTTAGTTGCATCCAAGATGTTCATTTTATTCTATACTTCCCCCTCAGATGTCCAGGCCTTCATGAACCAGTCAACTACCAGACGAAACAAAAAAGGCGAAAGTAAGCAATTTTGTCTGACTCCAGTCCTCGCTTTGAATAAGTCTGTCAGCTGTCCTCCACTCATGACTTTGCAGTGTAGTCCATCGTACAAAGTTCGGATTACGTTGACGGTTCACCCAGGTACGCTAGTGTCGAGGAAGGTTCCATAATGTTCTGTTCACAGCTAGCTGCTTTCTCATAGTCAAGAAAGTTGAATTACAGTGACAAATTTTATTCAATCTATTGTTGGTCTGTGAACGACCGACCAAAAGGAATCCAGCCCGTTGATCACGAGTTTGGATTTCTACTGAATCTTTCATCCGGTTAACCATGTTTCCACGTACTTCTGTAGAATTATGGTCTACTTCATTGTGGTTGCGCCACAGGATTGAGTTATACTATTCAGATTATAACGTTAAAGCCTATACGGTGTCTGGTTCTCCTGTGAATCGAGATTGAGCTGTACTGCTCGGTTTATAAAATGTAAGCCTGGGCGATGTTTGGCTATTCTGCTAAACAGGGTTGAGCTTTACTGTTTGGGTTGTCATGTGAAAGTCTGGATGGT